ACTGGGACCAGCCTGTACTTGTGCTCTTTGCTCAGGTTGGTGGGCGGACGTCTGAGACCTGCCAACCACCATAGGATGGTCTGGCCACACTTGGGCTGTGGCTGACCCTCGTCCCTGTCCCTTTACCTCCTGTGCTTTTCTGGCTTTGTGCTATGAGACATGAGAAGTTGTGGATGCCCCATCCCTGGAAGCGTTCAAGGCCAGGTTGGATGGGGCTGTGAGAACCTGGTCTAGTGGAAGGTGTCCCTGTTCATGGCAGCAGGGTTGGGACGAGATGGTCTTTAAGGTCCCTTTCAGCCCAAACCATTGTGTGATTCTATGATTCTATGATCACCGTGTTGGGAAGGGCACTGCCCTTGCCGTCACTGTCACCCTCAGCCCCCATCTCTCCTGCCCTTGCCACACCACTGCCTGACACTGAGGGACATCTCAACCTATACATTGGTTTTAGGTATATGTACGTGTGTTAAAAATTACCCTGCTGACTTGAACACTTTGATGAGGATGAGTGATGTTCCTTTCTCACAAAGAACAGACTTGAATGACTACTCACTGGTTGCCCTATGGCACGGTCCTCAGTACAACATTTTAGAGGAGCCAGCTTTACCATCTGCAACTAAGGGCAGCTGCTGATCACACTCTGCCGTGGGCTGTCCATGCCCATGGGCTCAGGGCGACACCGGGGGCATTAATACACAAGCACCCCCGGGTTTATGAGGTGAGGTCATTAGTGTTTGTGCTGCTTTCCACTTGATGGCAGCAGAGTCCACAGCAACGGGTGCGGGCAGGTCTGTGTGCGGATCTCTGGTTGTTAGTGATGGGGAATGGCAGGCGATGAGTCCTCACGGCAGGAACGCGGCTCTTGAAAAGAATATTAAGTATATTTCGATAATATGGATTTGGATAATTTGGATGTATGGGTAATAATATGGATTGCAAATGTAATGGTGGTGAGACCAGCTCTGACAAGAACTGGAGTGCTCCTGCCTATTTCCAGAAGCAAGAGGCATAAATACAGTCTTTTGCAAGAGATGAAATCTCCACCACTGTTAACTATGTATGAGACCAGGTTTTCTCAAATTTTCTTAAAAAATTCAGTAGCTTGGGAGAATATTTCATATGTCAGGTTAGTTTTGTCTGCTTTCAGTACAAACGATTTGTTCTGAATTTCAGTGTAATGTGCAAATAGAAAGCAGCCAGAAGTTTATAATTTCTGAGGCTGAGCCAGTTTTTGGCATCCACTTTACAATTGTTTTCAGGGAGGTGTCCACAAAAGAAGCAAAATGAGAAGAATTTCAGAGAATAAATAGAGAAATGCAGCAAGGACATAGATTTACAGAAAGAATATTTTCTGCAAGGTAATCAGCTACTCTGTAGGCAAGTCAGGCTTTTAATTAGGTCTGTAGTTGCAGGTGTTTCCTAAGAGCCTAATCAGCTTTGGGGGAAAATATTATTTGAGGCAAACTAGAGAAACAAACTTTTCTTAGCTCTGTCTCCCACATTTCACCTCACAGCTGCATAATTTACTGTGGTGGTTTTTTAAACTCTTTTGGCATACTGCAAGGTCTGAAATGGAGGCTGGTCTTGTTCTTGTCTTTGCTCCAATGTTAAATTAACAGAAATAGTACATATATTTTCCAAATCACATCAGACACTAGTATAAAAGTGATCATCTTCTTGGAAATGTTTGCCATTGCTATTCAATGGCTCTTCATTTTCCTGCCAGGATAAGTAATATATTTTAAAAAGAATAATTTCTCATTGTAAAGTTATATACTCTGTAAACTGAAGAAAAGAGTCAAAATGTCAACTGCTTTGGACATTTCTGTTTTGTTAATTCTGGTGGAATTGCAGGTGCCATGTTATTTCTGCTGCTTGAAAAGCAGGGCAGAAAAACTTAGTGGAGGAAATTGGAAGTTACCAGAAAGCCCACCTACAGCTTTCCCTGACAAGTCACTTTCTGAAAATGTTTGCTCTTTTTGAAACAATATGCCACCCCACCATCTTGTGTCCCTTAAAAAGCACATAAACCCCTAGAAAAATAAAACCATGATAAAAAGCACTTTCTTACAAAAAGCGAAGAGGTAAACAGATGGGCGTATAATCCCTTGTCTTTTCTTGCCTCTGTTTGTCTTTCAAATGGAATTCTGGTGTTTCACATACTGCAGGGGCCATAGAAGGAGTTAGCAGGAATAGCAGTGATATTCAAGACTATGAGTTACTTACTTTCCAGATATTCATCTGGTTTTCATGAGAAAGGCTTAAAGCAATGAAGTAAGACCCTACAGAGTGGACATCTCACTCCAGCTTCCTTGTCTTTTTTTTTTTTTTTTTAACGTGCTTCAAGTTCCCTACAGGATTAACTTTACAGAAACTTTGAGAGCTTATGGGATGTGTTGGTGGGATGGTGAACTGCCAGAGGCACTGGAGAGAGAATGATGCTCACTTTCTTTCTCCAAACCTTTTAAAAATTCCTGCTTCCACAGGAATTTCACTACTTTTTTTTTTTAAATTTGCTAAAGCATATATTTGTGGTTTAGTAACTTCTGCATGCTGCAGGTATCTGTTGCACTAGTCAGTGTTAACTCTGAATTACTTATTCACTACTTTGAAACAGAGTTATGAATAGTGGGGTGTGTGCAAGAAAATCTAGATGGTGTGTCCATCATCTGCATTGACACACACTTTTTTGACCTAAAATTACTCTATGACTGTAGTGCATGACATATTTTTAAAATTCTATGAATCACAATTTATTTTCATCTTTGGGGAATGTGGGAAATATATTACAAGCCTCTGACACAAGTATCGTAGCCAGTAATGTCAAAATTTTAAATTTGCCTAGGTCTTTATATTCCGTTCATGGAAGGTTTATTAAAGAGTTAATGTATTATTAATCATTAGAAATATATTACAGTTGTAAATCAAGCACAAGTGCATCAGAAGCGTTTATAACCTGTGGTTGTGGATAAGCATTCACAAAAAAGTCACCAAAAAACCCCTATATACGTTGAAATAACCATTTATTAGAACATTTATTACACATGCAGTAATATTTACAGCCTTACCTTGCAGGCAACTTTGATTGAGATTTATTTTTTAAAGTCTGAACTTTCTTGGTGACAATTTCTGTGAAACTTCCTTGCTGCCTGATTCATCTAACACTGCAGCTGAACAACACTGGGAGAGCAAAACCTGCCAAGCCGATTTTACATGTGACAATCAAAGGCAAGGACTCTTGACAGGAGCCTTTTAATGAATCCACGTGAGACGGATGTGGGTTCCTTCACTGTAGAGAGAAGAGTCTCACAACGTCTCACAGAGATCCCTTCTAATAGTAAGTCATCTTTTGGAGATAGATTTTTCCACCTTGTTTTCAGAAGCAAATAATGCCAAGTGCCACAATTGGGACATTTTACTTGGGAAATGAGTTTCAGATACTAAGGGGAAACTTATTTTGAGACCTGTGATGGGGACTCAACTGCCTGCATTTTGCTTTCTCTCTAACTCTGATTTGGCAGGAGATGTCTGATGTATTCCCCAGTGAATGACACAACTTTGCCCACAGAGAAGCATAAAGCTGAATGGGGAATAACAGCGCTTTGGCACAACTTCTTAGCATCTTCTTTTGTCTCCTTGTGCCACATGCAGAGATGAAGACTCCAAGGTACTTGTTGGTTAGTAAGCAGGGCTGCTCATACAATTCAGTGCTACCACTCCTACAAGCCATGATATACTCTGATGCTTACTGCTACACACACTACCTAACATCTGTATCAAATAGCAGAGAAATTTGTAATTGAGTGTTTAGTGTGATTTATTCACTTAATTAGAAAGAGTTTGAAGAAACTGCTTATGGGGAGTTAGAAATACTAGACAATGGATGAAAAGATGCAATCCTAAACTATCGGTCAGATGTGGGCTCTGAGCTTTGCTGCTAGAACAGCTCTTGAATAAAATGCCAATAGCCTTTCTGCTTCCTTGGTTGCTCAGTGTGACCTGGTAAAGACAGCAATAGGAACACCACTGCCTAATGCATAACAAAATCCAGGCTCTGGATCCCTGGTATCTCAGGGGGCAACTGCTGCAATAGAACAAGGCAAATTCAGGGTTATTCCAAATAATGGCAACTGCTAGTTCTTCCCCCAGGGCTTTTTTTGGGTTGTTTTCTCAGAGATGGGCAGGATCCAAACCCTGCTGTCTTATAAAATTGCATATTTCAAACCTTTCAAAACATTACACATGACAGTTAGCCATTTAGATCCACCTAGAAAGGCAAACCCTATATTTGTAGTTTTTTCTCTGCCAAGTGTGTAATTTTCTTGTCAGACTAGAATCTTCTTCATACACACGCATGCACACACACACACACAAGTAGAAATCTCCTGCTGTAGACTTTTTTTTTCCTGGAAAGAATTACTTTTATTTTCTCTTTAGGAATAGCCTAAAAACTTATTTTATCCCTTACTGCTGTGTGAGAAGTATTAATTATCTAATGATTCCACTTTATAGGGGTGAAAGGTTTTTGAAGTTTCTTTATAGTGGCAGAGATATGAGAAACACCTAAGTTACAGCTAGGAAGTTTTGGAGACCAAATTTCTTTATTCAGGTATTATAGGGCTTTTATGCCCAACACTTCGAATCATTTCTGGGTAGATTAACAAAGCTCCAATTAAACAAAAAGAGACTATCATGTGCTCATGCAAAGGCCTGAATAGAGTAACAGGAGGAATAGAAATTATTCTGGTCAGAGAAAAAAAAAACACACAAAGAATCTCTATATCAGCCTAATTTCTTATGGAAATTAATTTCTCAGCTGAATTCCTTCAACTGAGGGTGTGTTATCTCTCCTCATTACACGTCTATTAATCTTTAAAATTAAACAAACAAACTCTTGTTCTTTCAACTTTTAGAAACAAAATATGTTAGAAGTTTTTGTAGTTTTGATAATAGATTCTTTCTCCTCTTTTCCTCTTCTGGCATTAAATGTAACAGAATGAACAATGCTAACAGTTTTCAGTTTTATTTTTTCCACTTGTTAAATTGAAAAATAACAAAGCAGCTTGGCAAGAGGGAAATTAAATTCTTCTGAGTACAGAGAAGATAAAGTTAGAGGAAACAAAGAGAAAAAAAGTGAGAAAAATCATTAAAACTTCCTGTGAAGGTTTATTCCACTGAATCCTTCAGCCAACAAGCCAAAAATCTTCTCTTTTGGCAACTTCCCATGAAGAAGTCCACTAGATGTAAAAGCTGGAAATCCCAGTGTGCATCTCTCAGTTTCCCTTCTACCTGCTCCAAGTTCTATGTTTTTTCATACAGGATTGATGTCAGTTGTCTCCAATCAATGTGCAGCAAACATGGCTGAGAAGGAATCTTTGTCCTACTTTTAGTTAGAGAACCTCTGCTTGTCTCTTTCACTCTCAAGGCAGGAATATCCATCTGACCTTCAGCTGCACTTGCGGAGAGCAAGAGAGCCATAGGGTAAGATCATTTGCTGTTGGAATAATAGACCTACACATGTCTAAAGATACTCTGATAAAATTATTCTCATGTAATTCCAATCATCTATATTTTTAGCCCATTATTAGCTTTTAAGTCTTAATTGGTGCCGGATGTGTCCATCACGTTACCTGTTATATCATCTGGCTGACACTTTAAAAGTAATATAATGGGACATAAAAGTTTAAAATTAAAGACTACTAAATGGTACTTAATGTATAGATCTAAAAATAAAAAATCACAAGGAAAAATTAATACCAGCTGGGCTAGCTCATAAAAGACCTGTACCATCAACCATGGATATGTCTAAAAAATTGCTGTACTTTTACAAACGGATGAAAGCAGCAGCTGGTGTAAATCAGTACAGGTCCAGTTATTTCAGTAGCGTTGGCACAGAATCTTACCCTTTAAACAAGGTGGCAAGGTTCTACTAGAAATGTTTTATTTATATTAAGTAACTCTATTTCTGGGCTTACAGCCCGATAAGGTTCTTGTTCTCCAAACAACTAAAACAATTCTCTTTGCTCTAAAAACCTTCACTCTCTAAACAAGGAATAAGTTTTAAAATAAAAGTAGTTAAACTGTACAAAACCCCAAAACTGAAGATGCAGCCTTAACATAGTGGTTTTATCATGCTTTATGATGCAATTGTTGTAGATTTTGTTCCTGCAAGTGGTCTACAAGTTTTGGTAGTAACCAATACAATTAGAGATATCAATTTCAATCTTAATTAAAGTTGCCTAAAGACTTAGTATAATTAGTGGCAATTCTAAAATCAGTTTTCATTAGAATATGGTGGGACCTGACTCTAACAGGATCAATAACTATTTTCTGGTTTTCAGTAACCAGTGTTTGGAATAACAGAGGTAAAGAAATTCAACAGATATGATTTGAGGACTGAGAGAATGACACAGCAGAGACTGACATGGGACCGAGGAGAAAGGACTCAAAGCTACCTTCTTGGACTTTGTGAGGAGAAAGGACTTCAGGAAACAGTTGAAGGTTGGTTGGAGGGGAGTGTTCAGGGGCCCCGAACACTCCCACGAGAGAGAGACTGCGTTACATATCAGCCTTGAAAGGCTTCTCCTGGACTAAAGTTAAAGGGAGGGACTTAAAGGACTGATAGAAGTGTAATACTATATATATATAGTTGCCTTTAGTTTGTATAGTATTTATTTGTGTAAATAAATGCATATACTTCCCCTTCCCCCTATAGAAGCCTCTGGCCTGAAAGTTTCTCTCCGGTGTTGGGATAAATTGTGGGAAGGGGTGGGGGGAAGCCTGGAAATCAGATTCTGGATTTCTAATGTGGCTCAAACTGCCACACACAGTTAATCAGATGGCAGTGCCTTTCCCCAAAAATGTGGAAAGCAATCCAGTTTCAGAACTAGTATCAGAAGATTTTTAACAGAAATGGAAATATAAACCCTATAGCAGGTCAATAATGCTAAGACAATCCCAGGTGGAGGCAAAAAACTGGAATCCTTTATTGGACATACAGGCTGATATTTTAAGGTTCTGGGGTCTACATATTCATGGGGGGGCTGAGCTATTACAAAGAGGGGGTTTTACAAGGATGAGGTAAGGGAAAAACCCAAGTTACACCTTTTGGGTTTAGCACATCATGGGGAAAAACTACTTATTTTAGGATTACATTTTTGGGGATTTACATGGGGGAGAGATATCCAATGTTTACAGAATACACAGGATACACAGAGAGGGGGAAAACAACAATGGATTTTGTGCAGAGGCTTGATAACATCACAGCATAGTCTCTCTGTATCTTGGCAGGACATTCCAAACAGGTGACATCCTGTTTGGTCCTCAAATGCAGGTTTTTTCCCCAGTTTTTGTAGCCCAAGGTTTCTGTTTAAACCCAGCAGTTTCTTTTTCTGATATCCAACTTTTCAGACTCCAACAAAACCCCAGACTACTTGCCAGGGTAATTAGGAGAATAAACAGCCTTAACAATTTTAAGGAAAAAAGCTCTAAAGAATAAAATCTTTACCCTGTACTGAAGCTCTTCACTTTTTAAAACTCCAGTGGATAGCGTCAGCTATTCAGCTTGTGAATGCTCTTTGTTGTCTGCCTCACCCAAACATTGCAAGACTTCAAATAAGCTGCCAAAATCTAGTATCTGAGTGAGAAATGTCCCCTTGTTGAGCACTGCCAAATTACTGCTGTCTGCTTGTGGCTCTCTGCTCCTGGATGACATGATGCTGAAGCAGCAGCAGTAGACTCACCTAGCCTAGTCCAAGTCAAAAAATAAACTGTATCAAAATTTCCTTCACTTTTTGTGCTAAACAGACCTTCACAACTGCATCCAGTTCCAGGTTCAAACAGGCTTCATTTGTTAAGAAGCTCAAATCTAAAAACCTATTTTAAAGAAATCTTATAGGCCTGAAAACACAAGTAACGATTTGGATCTTCAGGTGCTCTTAGATACCTCATACCTGTTTATTACCATGATAATTTCAAATAGCAAGATAAGATATATAAAGTAGACAGTATATATTACGTGCTATATAGCACATATATAATATAGCATATGGTATATAGCTGAAGTCCATTCACAGCTATCAAAAAATGAAGAGCCATTGCTACCTCAGCTCAGCCAGGTAGGGTGGGGCTTGTTGCAGCCACAGGGATGGGACCAGTACCCAGCTCCTGCAAGAGGAGCCCTTTGGGCAACTCAAAGAGATGCAGCCTCCTCACCAAGGGGAACCTTGCTCTGTCTTACTGTCAGTACGGAAAATTGTGTTCCACTATCTTGGAGAGAGCTTAAGAATTTAAGTTATAAGGGAGATACAAGGTTGAAAGTTGATTTTGTCCTACAGTTAAAAATTGCAGCAAACCTGGGTAGTTCTCCACTCCCAGGACCATTCCAACTGGTCTCTGCTTTGATGAGACAATGGACTGACTGTGAACTGGACCCACTGGAGACTGGACCAAATGTCACAATCAAGCATTTCACTTATTGCTACAAGAGCTCTTCAGGTGAGAATTTCAAACAGCCATGGAGATCCCTCTTGGTACCTTTTGCTTTGTCTAGATCAATCCATAGGCACAATTTGTATGCTTCAGTGAGTTGACTGACATGCTGGGTGGAGAATCTGGACATCCCAGAAACTCCTTCAGGCAGTAGTTACTGCAAAATTGACCAAACTCTACATAGATAAAACACATGCAAATAGTGTAAGGAAGGAAAATTGGTCGCATAGCACAATCTTCTGTTGTCAGTTATGATAGATAGGGGATGTTTCTTACACAGTGTCAGGAGTGATGGATCTTAGATGTTCTGCAGTGGTCATGCAGCAGCACAGGCCAGCTGGCTGTGTGAACATTATGCAGCTTTTACAGTTTGCTTAAAGGCTACTTTTACAATTATTTTCTCTGATTAGTTTGTAATTTCCTTTTAGTGGCAAATTACTCCTTCGGAAAGGGGATTTATACCCCCAAAGCTCCCCACACAGTAGAAACTAGTGTACACATGCACAGATGAAACCCTCAATAAACAATTTGACTTCTGCATACAGGCACATTACGGACAGCTTACAAGGGATGCTGGTTGCTGGCCAGGCTTCTCCAGCCTTTTTCCCTTTTCCCTTGGACATTGCTGTCTCTTCTCTGTCTGCTCCACTTTGACTGCTGCAGGCTCAAACAGGGTTGTTAAGCAGCCTTTGGTACCTCAGCTGCCTTGTTCAGGACTGGCTCAGGTACCTCTCATGGCTCTGAATTACGTTTTTGAGACTGAACCTGTGGACTCCAAGGGAAGGGTTTACGCAATTGCACCTGGCTGTCAGTATTCATTCAGTAACTCCTCTCTGGGGGAAGAGGAGTACCCCATTACATCTGTCTTGTACTCCTCTAAAATGAGGTCAAAGAAAGTGACAAAAACATATGTAAGGGTAAGAAAGTGTCTCTGCAATGCAGGGAGCAGCTCTGCATTTTGCTACTCAAAACTCCCGCTCAGACTTCATTGAACGTCTCCTGAAAAGCTCTTGGAATGAAGATCTGACCACTGGGATTCTTTGTTTCCTCAGAAAGGAGCAGTATGACTTACCACACACTTCTCTGTCTCATAGGGTTATAAGATCATGTCCCTGGCTGGCAGTCAAGACATTGGCTTGGATGGGTTACTTGGACTATAGTCAGGGATTGGAGAACAAAGCAGTAGGAAGGATGAGAACAAATGAGACTTGTGTTCATGTGCATTATATGATGGACAGTGAAGCAGGGTGAAGCCCTTCCCTTGTTCTCTGTAGAAGACAAAAGACCCACCCACAAATACTCCCTGATTATTTTCACTTTGATCCTAACACGAGGTTTTACTCCACAAGGCTGTGGGCCATGTAGTATGTTCTGGCAAGGACCACATGCTAACCTTACAGATTAACTCCAGAAGGTCTCCAGCAGCCCAGCTCTGACATGTATAGAATTCATCATTGACACTCGGACACTCCTCCCGGCTTTGACTCTACCACCTCACACCATATGAAAGCAGCTGTGCCCTCTGGGCATCAGACTTCTCAGTGGTGTTAATTAAACCCTACAGGCTAACCTATGTCAATAGAATTTCTTTTTATCCCATTCTAGATATGGTTGATAAATAGTGGCCAGGAAAAGATTTTTTTTCTGAGGGGGGTCAATGAGAGAAAAAATTTGAGCATTGCCCCCAAGAATAGCTGAGAAGAAAATGACATTGCCATCATTGGCAGATTTCCACCATTCATCTGTATTAGCAATGTGTTGGCTTTTGTCAATAAGATATTATTTTTGTCCAGTTCCTCCTTATAGGTATCGGAATTCTTTATAGCCTGTTAGGCCACTGTGAGACATATTTAGAAACACAATTAGTGGCCCTAAGGCTCCATTCCTCTGTCCCCAGGGGAACTCAATTGAAAATGTTTCAGGACTGTGCAGCAAAATAACATGGCTTATCACATGAGGGAAAACCTTTTGTGCAAATAAACTGAAATTAAAATATAGTCAGTGAAAACTGCATTCTCCCTGGGCACAGAGAGAAATGATTATGTGGCCAGTGTTGTAAGAAATGTGTTGCTTTCCAGAAAGGAAGAAAGAACCAAACAGAACTAAAATGCAAAAACTGTTTAAGAACTTTCTTTCCATTTCATGGAAGTCTGAAAGATTGTATTTTAAAAATAATTTCTGTGCAAATAGCTTCTCACCTAACTTTTAAGGAGTATTTGGACTATATCTAACGTACAAGCAGTTTTAAAACATAATACTGAGGACTTAAGAGCACAACCACTGCATGACTTCCCTGTCATCAGTCATCTCCAACTTGTCCCCTATGCCCTCTTCAACTCCAGTCCAAGTCACACTACAGGGGCAAGAGCCTAAGTTATTGTGCCCTATCTACTGCTGACCTTCTGTTCAATGAGCATTAAATAACATAATCTGTCATAAACCCAGGATTTATTTGGCCCACTTAATTTGGAATGACAGTTTTCACTGTTGAGAGTAGAACTGAACATTTTATCTCCTATCTCTAGGAAGTGTATGGTAGACCCACCAGGGAAATATTTCTCCAGATTTACCATGCTGACAATTCCTTAAGAAGTTCTCTTCTTCCTAGGAGATTGGAAAGGCAGAAAAGGCTCTCTTCTGGGAACTCTACCTCACTGCTGCTTCATGAGGTTTGTGTTTCAGGATTGCTGTGGCAATGCTGACTTACTTGCACTCTGCATTCAGTAAAATGCTAATCAAAGAAATAAAGTCTCAGATGTAGATTTTCAATCTCTGACTCTTCACACTCAGCAGAGTGGGATAATCCTCCAGGAGGAAGCGGTAGGAGAAGAAATTTTACTAGTTTATGACTGAGCTCAGTAAGTTTGCAAACCTATGGCATTAAATGACAAGTCCATTCCATGACTGCAGGCAGCCCAAATGGCCCACTGAGTCTCCTGTCCCTGTAAAAAAAAAAAAAAAAGAATCAGGGGGGAAAAAAGGAACGTCATTGTCTTGTCTTGTTCACCACCTGCACCACATTAGCACTTTAGGATAAACTTCCCTTGATGCTTATGATCCTGTTGCAGTCACACCACTTGACTGATGGCAGAACAGGGCCCTTAGCAATCCTCTTCCTGCTGTCACCAAATGACACCACAGAGCAATACTGTTAGCAGCTGTTCTCTTCCACATGAGACATTTGCCATTTTGCTCTAATTTTTACAGTTTAACTCCTATAATGGGAGCAATGACAGTATTTCATTAGGACTGTTCCTTAACCAGGAACTCCTCGAGGAGCACAACATTACTAAACAGCCATTGCAGCTAAGAGTGAACAGTCCCATTTATTGTTTGGTTATGTCTTCCTCCTCTAGGGATTAAACCCATTATTGAAGAAACTGGCCTAACCATGACTGAACATTAATACAAGCAGTTTAAAACCAAAAAATACCCTACTATCCTTTAAATAAATGCAGACACATTTATTTAAGCAAACATCAATCACGCAAATGCCTTTGGAACCTCCAACTAATTTCCTTCCAGAAAAGTGTTCAAACAACATGCTTTGGAAGTACTCTTGGCTTATAGTAAAACATATTCTGGTACTATCCTGTCCTGTTGTATCTAAACAGTATTTAGTTATGTACTCTCTGTCTAGGAATATTTATGCTTTTTTCTCCTTGCTTAGAAGTGCCCCATATTTTGAGACCAGCAATGCACTGGAATAGATAAAGACATTTTTATTGATTATTAAAAGGTAAACTAACAAAGGGTTACAAGCCCAAGAATGGATATAACTAGTGGCATATTTATTATTGACAACTCACTGCTGAATGGAAACTAATTCCAAGGTCAGGCAAGGCCTGAAAATTTTGGGTTTTCTTCAGGATTGCTTAATTTTTCCTGGATGGTTATGTGGTTTATGCATGGATGTTGCAAAGGGATCTTTATGTATGATGGCACAGCATATTTAGAAGGGAGACTAACTAGTGCTGTTACTTGCCTGCTCCTATTTTTTGGTCTGACTGTCCTGATATAGAGATGGAGCAGCTCAAGACATAGAGGTGTACATCACCCATACACAGACATTCTTTGCAGAATATGTGTATAACTGAAATAGGCTCTGTCAAGCAGAAGAAAGGCATGAAGAAGGGCATGTACATAGCTCTTCACACGTGGTTTATCAACCTTGTGTTTGCCACAACATCACTACAAGCAGCACAGATGAAAACTGTGTTTTGATGCAGACAAATAACAACTGCTTCCCAGACTACCCTCAATGGAACAATGAGCATCTCCCTATTTACACCACAAAAATAGAGTAGTCTCCTGTGTCAACATGACCAGTGAATCCCAAGAGTGTAATGTGAATTAATCAAGTATGTAACCAAGAAAAAGCCTAAGGACATAATACCTTCGTAGAGATAAAAGGACTTAGGAAGTCTTTGGAGCTAATTGTTTGGAGGCAGTTAGAAAGGTTAATAGAGTGTAATTTAGCGATGTATTTCCTCTGTAAAAGTAGCATTGCTTATCTATATTTACACTACAGTACACATCAGCACAAAAGCATTATCGTTAACTAGAAAATCATGTACCATTCAGACAGGCTTCAACACCTAACAAGTTATATGGCTTGGATATAAACTCAGTGAGCTTGACGTGTAAAATAGCTTGATAACTAAATGCTGTCTTTGTGCAGACATCACACTAAAGACCCTCATCTGCTGAAGTCTTCAAGAATCTCTCTTATTTTCCAATCAGTCTCAACACAGAACTACTACCAGAGGTGAAGAGACAGCTGCGACTTCACTGCCAGTGAGGCTTCAAACTCTGTCCCAGGCACAGCACCAGTCACACCATGGTCACCACTGTAGCATGCTGTCTAGAGGAACTGAGTTTCTAGAACAGGTGATTTCACTGTAAAAAGGAAAGCATAGCATGGTGATTTTTAGCATACTTTA